AAGACCTGATTAACAGTGCCCCCAATTAGCATAAAGAAGTATTGATAAATCTACATGCATATTCCCAAATATCATTTGTAAATGTTCTTTTACAATTACCCATGAACCTTCTGACATATCAACAATGCATTAATCATGCTTAGAAACATGATTTTGTTATGTGCTACAAGCTGTAGAGGAAGACAGTGAAGGATAGATAAAATATATTTAGATAGATAGACAGTGAGACTAGAATAAAGAGGTACAAATACTCGTCCCTAGGTATGATGACTGCAATGTAAAAAGGAACAGTCTTACCCTAGTGTGATGGACCCCAATAACTTCCTTGGGTCTCCACTCAGATAAGTATCTGAAAAGCACTAAATGTTAGTGAGCTGCTTCCTCACAAGCTGGATCTTTAGATAAGTGGCAGGAATAAGGTGTCTCCACTAACATCAAAAAGGAGAATTCTGAGTCATTTTTTAAGCAGTATTTCTGATTCCCATGACCCTAATGCCATCTTAGATCCTCTGCTGGAAGTTACACAGTAGTAAAAGTGCATTTAGGACATGGCACACTATTTTCCCCGAACTACATGAATGCAGACTCATGATAAATATTCCCTTGTTTTGCTTCTAAAAGATTCCCTGGTTTTCCAGCATTGGAAATGCAGACTGGGCAAAGATAATGTTCCTGAGTATACAGCTATTTTCATCAAAGAAGCACAAGGCAAAAACCAGTCATTTGGAAGAAAAAAATGCAAGCCCTGTGCTTTCTTTTATTCTGTCAGATATCTTCCCCAATTTAAAGAAGGCCTCAGGCTCAGGCTGAAAACCCAGGCCTAGATCCTCCAGCAGAGAATTGTTGGCCTGGCACTGTTACTCTACTTGGTTACTTATCCTAGTTGTAATTATTTTGAGGATTCAGAAGAGGCACCTAGACATGTCATCTTCTACAGCATGCATGACTGATAGTAATGTTGCTTGTCTCCAGATGCCACAGGTTCATATGACGGAGATAGGACCTGTCCTTGTACATCCCTCGTAGACCCTGTCTCTCACCTGCACTGTTTTTGGGTTCTCATAAACCAGGTATAGTGTTAACTGATTCTGCAAGTCTCTGAAACTAGATCTAGAGTGAATGAAAGGAATATGAATTGGTAGAGGCAATGATTATAATTCAGCGCTCAAAGCCCATTTCAATACTAACAGGGACACCTCCAAGGCTAACCAAACAATCTGCAAACTGAAGGTGCAGCCCCCTATTTCTCTCTGCCAGTGTCAGTAATCCCTACAGAGACACTCGTGAGCATCAGAGGGCTCTGAGGACAAATAGGGACATTGCAGAACCATTAGACAAATGCTTCAGAAGCTATGAAGTTCTGGAATATGCTGCACAAGCCAGTGATCTAGTGTTAGAACCTATGACTTCCTCATAACTAAGGAATTCTTCTAGCAGCCCCTGTCATATATGTTATATTCTGATAAACTTGTTTTTATTGTTACACTAAACATCTGTTTTTTTTCCACAAACCCTCTAAGCTAGTCTTTTGTTTCTTGCTCTATACAAATCAGAAAATGAGTTATATATATATATATATATATATATATATATATATGTGTGTGTGTGTGTGTGTGTGATTGTAGACACATGCATTTTAACAGAAGTCAGTAATTATGACAGTCATTGTAAGCTCAGTAAGGAAACTCAGAAATTTTAAATAATCTCTAATTTACCAACCTTATTTTTCACATGCAATAGACAAACCACAAATTCCCTGAATTAATGTGATTTTCCAAAATTAGATTAGAAAATGTATTATCCACAGTTTCCTATTTCTAAACATATAGGATTCAATAAAATTATACAGTGATTATTATTTTTGCAAAATTCAATTATTAAACATTTGCTGTTTAATAAAAAAAATTCCTTCCACTTGGAGTTCAATGTAATGATTTCTCTGTAGGTGTAGTGTGTGCCCTCAGACACAAAATTCTCAGCCACTTTTGTGCCCATTCTAGCTGATGTCAGCTGCTTTCCTGTACTCATCTCTCATAAGTCCTGGTCTCTGTGTTTTCTGTAGTCATGGATTGTTTGTTTCCAGGATTTCTGGTAAAAATTCCTGTTTCTTAAAACATGGGAATTTTATGTGTCTTTATTTATAACTTTGCGGACAAATGGATGGAGCTAGAAAACACCAATTTGAGTGAGGTAACCCAGACCCAGAATAACAATTATCACATGTACTCACTCATAAGTGTTTTTAAATATAAAGCAAAGAAAACCAACCCACAAATCACAATCCCAGAGAACATAAACAATAATGAGGATCTGAAGAGAGACATACATATATCTAATCTACATATGAAGTAGAAAAATACATGATTTTCTGTGTAAATTGGCAGCATGGGGACATTGGGAGAGGGTTGAAGGGGAGAAGAGAGGCAAAGAGGGGAGCAGAGAAAAATGTAGAGCTTAATAAAGATCAATATTTTTTTTAAAAGACATTAGGTAACATCTTTTTTCCCCACTGTCTTGAAATTGAGGAGATACCCCAGAACTTTTGATTAACTGTATTTTAATAAATATATGAAACATAAAAAAATATGCTTGTCATTCTCTCCTTCCCAGGATCCTACAACTATCCCATAGGTCTGGGATGCTACTCAGTACTGATGCTCCTCCTCAGCAACCTTGCCAGTATGGAATCCCCAAGCCATTATCCATTGTTCATCCAAAGTCTTGTATTTCTGTCCACAATCCCTCTTAATTTACACTTCCCAATTCATATCACAGACTTGCATGTACTCATTGTTTTTCTCACTAAGTCAACACACCAACGTAATGACCTATCTTGCACCTATCACTCCCATAACCATTCCCTAAAAGATGCCACAAAGCCCCACTTGCCAGTAACCTGATGCTCTGTGTCTCTTCTCCCAGCCTCTCTCTGTCTGGAGTCTCTAAAGTTCTGCCTTCACAGTGCAGGGACACATCAGTTGCACAACCTAGCTAGAAAATCCAAGAGTAAATATGTTCCTCTTCTTGACCTCTGATCTCTTCTCAAAACACAGTTATCAGTCCATCTATTATCCTGGGCATGATCAACTGATTCACCTACACTCAAATTGCCCAGTGTCCTACTTTCTACCTGACAGATGACCTATGTATGCCTAAGAGAACATATGTGTTGACTTTGCAAATCCTTACTATTCCCTGGGCACCTCCACAAGCACCATCAACCACCTCAGGTCTGTAGCTCCTCTCCCAGACCTCATATGTCAGGATTTGAGATGGTTCCATGCTGGATTTATTATCTAGGTACTTCAGTGTAGTTAGATATAAAGTGTGGATTAACCTTCATCACCATTTCTATTTCTAAAGGTTGCCTTGTCAACCCATTTCTTTCATATTTAGTAGTATCTTCCTTAAGCATTTTCTTTGTGGATTTATTTTCAAAACAATTCACTATTTAATGGGTACTATTCTTTGTTCATTTAGAGAAACTGCATACTCAAAATATATACAATTAAATATAATCAGAGTTGCATCCTGTTTCCCTTTCAGCTACCAATAATCATCCTCAAAATAAATGTTTCACAACTTTTTGACCTCTGTAAGCCGAGTTGATGCTGCCCATGTGTGCATGCATGTGTAGTCAGGCACCGTAGAATAAGAAACCTACTAATGATCACATTCACAAAAAGAAAGTTTCTCAGTTTTCAGGAAAGATCTATATCCAACAGATCATCAGTAAGAGTGAAGTCCTGAAAACTAATTTACACAATGGTTTTGACTGCCTTGGTCTTAGGTATGCTTGCTTACACAGAAAACAACTGCCTTTATGAGTTCATGATATGAGAGCCAGGTCAAATACAGAATTCAGCAGTTAACAGTGCTCTTCTTTACGCTCAGCCTCTTACTTCTTTCCATTTACTCCCCTCAGGGTTCTCTGGGTCTTGGAAGGATGTAATTGGAACTGGAAACTGTTATTTCATAAGCTATAACAAATATTGAGAAGGACACAGACTACCTGATTCTTTCATATCCAGAACCTAGATTTATTGTGTTAAGTGTTCTGGCATCTGCTTTATAGACCTTGTAACTAGAACGCGAGCCCTAGGAAAGGAAGACATCGTAAGTGAGGGGCAAGGAGAGTGGAGCACAGGGTAATGTTGGTGCTGTTAAAGCAAAAGCTGGCAGTGATGATAGAAAGTAGATGAGTAGGAGGGAAACAAGACAACTGCTTAAATAACAATAAGTTTTTCCTAAAACTTAATCAAAATTCTGTTTTTGACAATTATATTATTAGGTAAATGAAATCTATTCTAACACAAAATAAAGACAGTCGTGAGTTGTCTGGAGTAATGATGACAGAAGGTAACACTGGAGTGGGCGTTTAAAGGAATCAAAGAGAGAATGGAAAAGCGTGCATTTGATGCTAATGGAAATAGGTCTCCTTAGCAAGTGCAAAGCAGCGGAGAGAAAGAGTGACAAGGGATATCTCACTTCCAGTTCTCCTATAGCATGAGGACAGCATGGTCTCAAAAATAAGTAAAATTCAGAAAATTTCCAAGTGTTCTTGCAACAAAGACTGAGTTATGCTAACAGCATCTGAATGTTGTGACCTTGTCAAAGAGCCACATCAGGGAGGATTCTTTTCCATGCCAGAAAGTAGGAAAAACTGAGCTCCTGTTTTTGGCAGACATAATTTCATATTTGTACTAAGAGACCTGATCGCAAATATCCACATGTTCTGTGCACACACACACATAAAGAAATTAACTGGAGTGCTGTGAATTCTTTCTTCACAAGGGAAATGAGAATCCAGAACTACAACTTTATTTCAAATTCTATAACTGTCATTGATTTTGACGCCTTATATCTGTTATAAGCACTGCCTTCTCTCAAGGCTCCAACACCAGAGCAATTATAGCTGGAAGACATGCAAATGAAGGTTCTCTGTGCCAATGAAAACCAGCACTGCCCTGACCCTGTAACTCATACAGAAGAGCCCAGACCTGAGTTCCCTGGTCCTTCTAATCACAGATCACCACTGATCAGATACCATTCACCATGGACTTGGGGCTCAGTTGGCTTTTGCTTGCCATTATTTTAAAAGGTAATGGAGACCAGATGCTGTGTGCATCTGTGTATATGAGGATGAAGAAAATTAGATTCTGTGAGAGTTTTCTAATCAGGAATCTCTGTGTTTGCAGGTGTCAAAAGTGAGGTTCAGCTTGTGCAGTCGGGAGGAGGCTTGGTGCAACCTGGAAAGTCCCTAAAACTCTCCTGTGTGGCCTCTGGATTCACCTTCAGTAATTATGGGATGAGCTGGGTCCGCCAGTCTCCAGGGAAGGCCCTGGAGTGGGTTGCATATATTTATAATAGTAATAGCATCTACTATGCTGACGCTGTGAAGGGCCGATTCACCATCTCCAGAGACAATGCCAAGAACACCCTATACCTGGAAATGGGCAGTCTGAAGTCTGAGGACACAGCCATATATTATTGTGCAAGAGACACAGTGAATGAAAGCTACTGTGAACTCACACACAAACTTCCATGCAAAGTGCTCAGGACCAGCAGGTGGCGCTGAGATCACACAGATCTCTGGGCCACAGAGTAGCCTTATCAGAGAGGCATAAAGAGATGGACTCCTCTGGGTCTGGGCCACATCTCCATATCGCATTCTAAGATTCTCTCTACAGTAATCTTTGAAGTGTTCACAGTTTTATTCAAATATCTATTTTCCATTGTGACATGCTTTTCTGTTTGTTTATTGTACTGTTTTTGCCCTCTGCCTCTTTTACTCTTGCTCTCTCTTTTATTCTCCCTCACTTTCTCCTTCGGACACTGCTCTTCCTCTCTTTCTGCCTCCTCTCTCCCTCCCTTCCTCCATCCCTCCACCCCGGGAACATGATGACTTATGATGTATTCCTCTATTAATCTGCAGTATATATTTGACACAGTTTTTAGAACTAGGCCTGAAAATTTGCCAACTGGCTTGACTGGTTGTCCAGTGAGTCCCTATGATAATGCTATCGACACGTCCCTTAAATAGGACAATTTCTTGGCTGACAAACCCATTCATTTTGCAATCATAAAGATCAAAGATCAAAGTTAGATTCTATTTAATTTTTCTTCTGTGGCAAGAAATTGAACTACAGAAGTATTTTCATGGTCCTGTTACCTTGTATATTCAGAATGCATTCTTTTTTTTTCTTTTCTTTTTTTTTCTGGGTTGGTGAGATGGCTCAGCGGTTAAGAGCACTAAGTGCTCTTTTTTTTTATTTAAATTTATTTATTTATCAAGGATTTCTGTCTCGTCCCCGCAACCGCTTCCCATTTCCCTCCCCCTCCCCTGATCAAGTCCCCCTCCCTCATCTGCTTGAAGAGCAATCAGGGTTCCCTGACCTGTGGGAAGCAGAAGGACTGCCCACCTCTATCCAGGTCTCGTAAGGTGAGCATCCAAACTGCCTAGGCTCCCACAAAGCCAGTACGTGCAGTAGGATCAAAAACCCACTGCAATTGTTCTTGAATTCTCAGTATTCCTCATTGTCCGCTATGTTCAGCTAGTCCGGATTTATCCCATGCTTTTTCAGACCTGGGCCAGCTGGCCTTGGTGAGTTCCCAATAGAACATCCCCATTGTCTTAGTGTGTGGGTGCACCCCTCGTGGTCCTGAGTTCCTTGCTCGTGCTCCATCTCCTTCTGCTTCTGATTTGGACCATGAGATTTCTGTCCAGTGCTCCCATGTGGGTCTCTGTCTCTGTCTCCTTTCATCGCCTGATGAAGGTTAATATTCAGGAGGATGCCTATGTGTTTGTCTTTGGATTCACCTAGATGCCCTTCAACGGAAGAATGGATGAAGAAAGTATGGAATATATACATATTAGAGTATTACTCAGCAGTAAAAAACAAGGACTTCTTGAATTTTGCATACAAATGGATGGAAATAGAAAACACTATCCTGAGTGAGGTGAGCCAGACCCAAAAAGAGGAACATGGGATGTACTCACTCATATTTGGTTTCTAGCCATAAATAAAGAACATTGAGCTTATAATTCATGTTCCTAGAGAAGCTAAATAAGAAGGTGAATCAGAATGCATTCTTACCAGAAGAAAATCATCAAGCAAGGCAGACGTGACTATGTATAGTAAAGTGTATCAGATTCTTTTTTATTTTATTTATTTATTTTTTATTGCAAAAATTTCACCCTCCACCCCGCCTCGCATTTCCCTCCCCCTTCTCCCACTACCCTCCCCCTCCTTTTTCCTCTTCCCCTCCCCCCTCCTCTCCCCCTCCCCCACTCCATTCCTCCTACCTCTTCAGTCTGAAGAGCTGTACAGATTCCCTGCCTTGTGGGAAGTCCAAGGTCCTCTGCCCTCCATCCAAGTCTAGGAAGGTGAGCATCCAAACAGGCTAGGCTCCCACAAAGCCAGTTGATGTAGTAGGATCAAAACCCAGTGCCTTTGTCCTTAGCTTCTTATCAGGCCTCATTGTCCGCCATGTTCAGAGAGTCCAGTTTTGTCCCATGCTTATTCAGTCCCAGTCCAGCTGGCCTTGGTGAGCTCCCAATAGATCAACCCCAGTGTCACAGTGGGTGGGTGTACCCCTCGTGGTCGTGACTTCCTTGCTCATGTTCTCCCTCCTTCTGTTCCTCATGTGAATCTTGGGAGCTCAGTCCGGTGCTCCAATGTGGGTCTCTGTCTCTATCTCCATCCATCGCCAGATGAAGGTTTTATGGTGATATGTAAGATATGCATCAGTATGGCTATAGGAGAGGGTCATTTCAGGTTCTCTCTCTTCAGTTGCCCAAGGAACTAGCTGGGGACATCTACCTGGACACCTGCGAGCCCCTCTAGAGTCAAGTCTCTTGCCAACCCTAAGATGGCTCCCTTAATTAGGATATATACTTCCCTGCTCCCATTTCCACCCTTCCTTTATCCCAACGATCACATTCCCCCAAGCTCCCCCTATCCTCCCCTTCTCACTTTTCTCTCCCCATTTCCTCTTACCCCCATCCCACCCCACCTCCACGTTCCCAGTTTTTGCCCAGCAATCTTGTCTACTTCCCATATCCACGGGGATGACTATATGTTTTTCTTTGTGTTCACCTTCTTATTTATCTTCTCTAGAATCACAAATGATAGGCTCAATGTCCTTTATTTATGGCTAAAAACCAATTATGAGTGAGTACATCCCATGTTCATCTTTTTGGGTCTGGGTTACCTCACTCAGGATAGTGTTTTCTATTTCCATCCATTTGGATGCAAAATTAAGATGTCATTGTTTTTTACCTCTGAGTAGTACTCTAATATGGATATATTCCACACTTTCTTCATCCATTCTTACATTGAAGGGCATCTAGGTTGTTTCCAGGTTCTGGCTATTACAAATAATGCTGCTATGAACATAGTTGAACAAATGCTTTTGTCATATGATAGGGCATCTCTTGGGTATATTCCCAAGAGTGGTATTACTGGGTCTTGGGGTAGGTTGAACCCGAATTTCCTGAGAAATCACCACACTGATTTCCAAAGTGGTTGCACAAGTTTGCATTCCCACCAGCAATGAGTGAGTGTACCCCTTTCTCCACAACCTCTCCAGCAAAGGCTATCATTGGTGTTTTTAATTTTAGCCATTCTGAGAGGTGTAAGATTGTATCTCAGTATTGTTTTGATTTGCATTTCCCTGATTGCTAAGGAGGATGAGCATGACCTTAAGTGTCTTTTGGCCATTTGAACTTCTTCTATTGAGAATTCTCTGTTCAGTTCAGTGCCCCATTTTTAATTGGGTTAATTAGCATTTTAAAGTCTAGTTTCTTGGGTTCTTTATATATTTTGGAGATCAGACCTTTCTCTGTTGCAGGGTTGGTGAAGATCTTCTTCCAGTCAGTGGGTTGCCCTTTTGTCTTAGTGACAGTGTCCTTTGCTTTACAGAAGCGTCTCAGTTTCAGGAGGTCCCATTTATTCAATGTTGTCCTTAATGTCTATGCTGCTGAGGTTATACCCATGCACAAAATTCAAGTCCAAATGGATTAAAGACCTCAATATCAGTCTGAACATACTGAACCTGATAGAAGAGAAAGTGGGAAGTACTCTACAACATATGGGCACAGGAGACTACTCCTACATATAACCCCACACAGCAGAAGGGAGTGGGATGTGGGGAATAGGGGGGGAAAGGAAGCAGGGAGGGAGCAGAAATTTTTAATAAAAAAACAGTGATTATTTTTAAAAATAATTTCTTTAAAAAAAGCTAGTAATATACCTTTGTTTTTAAGGTGTTTGTCTAACAAGGTATTAAGGTCAAGAACCAAGTCGTAATAAAAAAAGATCAGAATTGTAGACAGAAGGATATAATTTCCCAAATTAATAGACTTAAAAGAGGTGATCTCATGACTGCAGAGGGAAGGGCAATCACTAGATTAGAAAGAGCTGATGGAACAAGGTGGAGATGGAACAAGTTCACAGTGCATTACAAGAGTTTTGTTCTAGATTCACACAATAGCAGCTTAGGAACTTGACACACTTCAGCTCTTGAAATATTTCCATGACATGACATCCATGAGATAGTTCTAAACATCTACAAACTATGAGTTCAATCCAGGAATAAGGAAATGTTTGAATGCATGAAAATCTCATTGCTGATACTGTGTCTGCATATGTGTATGTTTGCATATGACTGTGGAGGCCACATGTTGATTCTCCTAATGTTGATTAGGAGAGTCTTCCTCAAATGCCCATTAACTTATTTTTTGACATAGGCTCTTACACTGAAACTGGATATATGTCCCAAAGAGCCTCCTGTCACAATCTATTGACTGATGAGACTATAAGAATAAACCATCATACCCAGGTTCTTAGTTAAGTACTGAGGATCAAACTGAGATACTCATATTGGGAAGCACGCACCTTACTTCCTAGCCATCTCCTTAGAACTGGATATTATCATTATACATTGTATACGTTAATAAGAATACTGTAATCTATAAAAGAAATAAATATATAATGATTTTAAAGGAGAAATATTTTTGGTAATTATGGATTTTTAAACCATTTATTGCCTAGATGAAAATGAAAACCATGAGGCAATTCCCTTCAATGTCCTCAAAATTCTTCCAATTAGGCAACTGGTCAGTGTGTGAGAGATGAAGGACCTGGGAAGGAATGAAATAGAGAAAGCGTAATCAGAACATATTTTGTGAAAATATTTTCAAAAAATAAATATTTTTAAGACTCTTCATAAGAATGTCAGGAATAGTGATGCATGCATTTAATCCAGTTACATGGGGGCAGCGGCTAGAAAAGATTTCATAGTTCAATATCAGCTTGGTCTACATAGTGAGTCCAGCCAAACAAAACGTGCCAGTCAAGGAACATAAGAAAAAAAATTAAATTATTCCAGACTATAATTTTTTATCTGATGAAAACCATGCCCAAAGGCATCATGGGAAGAGAAGGTTTAATATCATCTTAGCTCACATATCATTATAGAGAAAAATCAAATCATGTAAGAAGGCAGGAGACTGAAAGTGGGGACTGAATCAAAAATCACACAAAAATAATGCTTGCCAGCTTGCTCTCCATGGTT